CCACTCCTGCTGTTTGATGGTCTCCTCCTTCGCCACCCGTCCATCCATCCATCCATCCATCCATCCTCTTCTGCTTCAGGGTTGTGGGAGCAGCATCTTCACCAGGGAGGCACAGACATGAACAGCCACCTCTTCAACTCTTCTAGGACCCCATGGTGTTTTCAGACCAACTGACTATTTATTAAGTAATATCCTGATGCTGCTCAATAATCCAGGTAGAAAAATCTAAAAAGTTAAGTCTGGTCCTCTGGACATTCACAAAACAAACAATACAGTTCATAATAAATAAACTAAATGTTTTTTGTTAGTTTTGTTTTTTGAATGTCCAGAGGACCAGACTTAACTTTTTTTTAGATTAATAAGTAATAAATGTATGTTTTAATTTAATGAAAGACAAATCTTTAAAATTCAAGGACAAAATTTAACCTAATTGTTTTCAAGTCTGTGTCTTATTGTAAAAGCAGTTTCAAAGATTACAGCACAGTGTGATGTTTTGCAATTTTAACATGAACCTTGTGCATATCTGCAAATAATAAAAGTGAAGATATTTTTATTACATCTTTATTGTAAAAATCTATACTAAAATGAAAAACACATGGGTTTAAAGCAGCAGGGAAAGCAGTAAGGTAGGATTATGAATCAGGTCTAAAGTTACAGCTCATGAGGTACTCCATTAGAGCATGACATCTTTTCCACAACATCGTGTGACAAAACCTTCAGGGTGTTGTTCTTCTAATACGTTTAGTGGTGGCTAGTAAGTAGCTTAAGGGAGCACTACCGCCACCAGGTGGTAAGACGAGTTGGATTCTAGTCCCCGCCTACAGAGCTGGTCCAGAAATGTACATGGAAACACAACAGACCCGAACCGATCTGAACCAACCCGAACTGATCTGATCCGCTCTGTGACGGTGGAAAAGGGGCATAAATCTCATCTTTCCAGTTCGTTGGGACCAGGAAGTGATGAGAGAGGGACCTTGCGTTTTCCTCTCCTTCTGAGACTCTAGAAATTACATTTAAAACAGAATTTCCTGAACTTCTGCGAGAGGGGACGAGATCTGTTTATAAATTACAGAAAAAAACGTCACAGAGTTCCTCCACACCGGGGTTTGAGCTGTACTGCAGCGTGAATCCCCGGATGAAAACGGTTCGCCCATCCGTCTGGAGCGCACACTCATTGCCACTCGTTTATAAGTTATAAAGCGGGCACGCATTTATGCTGTGAAACTCACATGCATGCTGATGTGAGCTGGTGCGCGCTGAGTGAGAAAGAAAACACGCGCGCCCCCGAGCATGCAAATCGTTGTGCGTTTGCTGCGGGACGCAGCTCATGTGTTGTGCTCACATTGTGTGCAGCTGATCCGTGTAAACGTTCGGGGAGCGGGTTCACGTATGAGCCGACGTGCCCTGAATAGTCGTGTGTGCGCGCCCTCATTCATGCAACGCCTTAAGCCAGGATTGCCGCGGGAGCACGCGTTGACACTGGTGCAGTCAGGAAGCAGCGCGCGGCATCGGTGGGGCGAGGTTACCACTGGCTCGTTCTGCAGAAACACGGTCATTCTTGGTTGCAAACCACGTGAACTTTTGAGTGATTCCACGAGCTGCAGTATTAATTCAGAAAACCTTCTTCGAGCATGAAGGAGCGGAGCCGCTGTGAGGCTTGTGAAACTGTTGACGCCGCGGGAGCACGCGTTTGACACCACTGCGATGAAAAACGCATGTCGCTCCTGCCGAGAGCGAGATACGTTACTGGGCTCGTACCGCGGTCTCACGTTAACGTTGACGTGAACGGCGGGCGCTGAGAGCTGCATGCGCGCTTTCATGACGCGGGAGCGCGTATTGGTACCGCTGACAGTGAATGAAAACAACCTTAAAAAGGCTCATTCGTGATGAGTGTGTGTGATGGGGCCACTTGTCAGATAATCCATGCTGACAGCCTGGCTAAAAACACTTAATCATAAAATGATGTTTATTTCACATCATGTCATCAACACACCTCCAGCAAACCGACAACTGGTTATCCTCCCTTGAGCTCTGTTTGTTGTCCTGGAGGGCCCCCTGTTGGCGAAGTCCGTGAAAAAAAATGAACTTCCGGATGCTGGGGACGTCTGACGGGAGGGGCTGGCGTAGCAGAGCTGGGGAGGCATTGTGCAGCCGTGGAGCATCTTGAAATGATCTCTCGCTGATGAAAAGAGGACTTCCAACAAGCTCCTGCAGCTCTCCTGAGAGGAAGGTGGAGTGACGAGCCAGGAGAGCCTCTGGGACCTCGTTCACCGGCTGCGATGCGGGGTGGCAGACAGCAAAAGAGGCGCACCGGTTGGGGATGACGTCAGCTGCCCTGTAGACGGAGCGTACTGCAGGGGCTGGCAGCGTCGTTAGCAAGCAGCCGCTACAAGAGCGGAGCGAGCCGAAGGTCAGAGGGGCCCACCGTCTCTTCCCGCCTCTGAACGTGTATGCCAACAGCGTCACGTGTTGTTCGCTGCGGCCGTGGGGAATACATGCTGGTGAGCTCAGTTGGAGAGCGGTGTCACCGTCTCGGTTACGCTAACCGGAGGCACGGGACGCTGGTCCACCTCGACATCTTGCTCCAATGAAGCCTCCATCAGGCTTGGCTCCAGGAGTCACTGAGGGACTTTCCGCTCGGTGAACCCCTGCTCTGGAGATGGGTGCGGACTGTGGAGACCGGTCCCCTCAATCTACCAGGAAAAAAACGTCTGTGGCCTCGCCCGTAGGACATCCTGTTGGGAAAACGAGGCCAGATGGATCAAGACAGTGAGCTGGAATGGAACCTAGTAGAAACAACCTTCCCGCCGGATCATCCGAACTGGCGGGAAAGGCGTGGGACGTAAAAAAAAAAGGTCCCTTCATGTCAGCCGCCTCCTGGGTTATGCCAGGCAACCCCTCAGGGCGCCGTCAGCCGTGAGCAGTGTGATGGCCGATGCAAAACGAGGTGGGATGGGGTGAGCATTCACTCAGCCCCCCTCCACCGACACGACGCTCTCCAGGAGGGAATGAGCAGCGGGGGGCTGCAGCTGAGCGCTGCCTGTCCCGGAGGAACCATCTGATTCGCTCCGAGGGTCGGCGATAAGAGGAAAATTACAAGATGGCGTTGTCCAGCGTGTAGCGACCTGTCACTGAGAAATATTCCTCGGCGCTTACCTTGAAACAAGACTGCTCATCAGCTTCTCCTCGGGGAGGAGAACTCACCGGACGACCGGAGGTCGACTGCCGGGCCAAGCATTCTTAACAAAGGTTGGTCATCTACACAACTTTCCTTCTTCGTTCTTCTGCCAGTGCTATTAGCTCGCTGAAGAAAAAATGGGAGCCGATTTCCCGCTCTTAACGTAATTTATACGGACCGGGTGGGGCCCACACAGCAGGTGGGCATGGACTAAATTTTTCAATGCGATGCTTTGCATATCGGGATAAACCCACTAAGTGACAGCCTTAAAGGGTGAAGCCTATACGAAATAGAACCACATCATCTTCTCAAAGCAGAGACGAGAACCTGAAGTTCCCAAATCAGACACCCTATGTTATGCTCTTTAAAACAACCCTGGCACCCCATACTCCCTCAGTACCCCCCACAGGATACCCCAGGAGCTGTGGTCATAACCCTTCTCCAGATCCGACTACTATTCTCATAATCATCACTGTCACATTCACTGTTCACTTTTATTAAATTTTCAGAAAATAAAGTTAGAAAACACATTTTATTTCCCAGTGTGTCTCACTTCAGGATCAACATACTTTCTAAGAACTGTGGTGAAATTAAAAGGGAGGGTTGAGTATAAAGGTTACAGTGAGTCAGACACATTTATCAGACTTCAGTGCTCACAGAGTAAACCTCAGTGGACGGGTGGAGACAGGATGTAATCCCTACAATAAATCAGACGCACCTTTCTGATGAAATGTGACCTACCTCTGCTCTGCCGTGACCTATGGTTCATCTTTCGATCCAGTTTATTCACATTGACACAAATAAAATTTCTTCATTGCTTAAACTCCACAAAAAACTATGAATAATGTGATGTTTGCAACACAATGTTTAGCTTGGAAAATAAATATTTAGGTTGGAGCTAAATATTTAGTTAGCAAATTAAGTGTTTAGCTTAGAAATTAAATGTTTAGTTTGGAAATTAAATGTTTAGTTTTAAAAATAAATATTTAGCTTGAAAGTTAAATATTTAATTTAAACCTAAATATTTAGTTCAGTAACTAAATATTTATCTTGCACGTTAAATATTTGGTTTGTAAATTAAACATGCATCTTGGACATAAACATTTAATTTGTAAACTAAATATTTAGTGTGCAGCTATATATTTAGCTTGCTAACTAAATATTTAACTTGCAAGTTAAATGCTTAGTTTGTAAACTAAATATTTAGCTTGTAAATTAAATAGTTTGGAACTATGACGTTTATAAATGTATGAATAACAGTGAAAATATGACTTTGAAAAAAAACAAAACTACTTTTTTTATTCTTATGAAAGGCTAAGTAAACCAAAATATTGCTGTTAATTTTTGACTGTATAACTTTACAAACGGCACCCCATACTGGGGTGCAGAATTTGTGCACAATTTTAAAATCTAATCTTGCAGGCTGCACATTGTTAGCGGTTTTATTTTTTAATTATTTCTCTATTACATGTTTGTGTTTTCACCTGGTAATGGTGGAATAAACGTAAACCCACTGAAGAGATAAACTCCGCCCGCCTTACTTGTCACTTCTAGCCGGATTATGTACCGGTAAATCAACAACGAGCGGACTTGTTGGTCTCTCCATCAGTACAGTCAAATTTAGGATTTAAGATTATTGAGCATGGACTTTTTTAGTCACATTTAGGGTTTTTCTCTGTGACAAATAAAAATAACAAGAATAAATGGTCTAAAGCTAAAAAATAATGGTTATTTGTGAACTACATTCTGGTGTATTATGTCTTTAAATGTAAAACCTCGTCCGTCTCCACCCTCTAAACCGTAAAAAAAAAAAAAAAGTCTAAACAAATCATAGGTGTGACGCAGCACAGTCTAAATCCTCCATCAGCTCTGCTTCCTGTCTGGAATAAATCCCGGGTTTTGTCGGTGTTTATCGCGCAGTCACGCGTCCCACGCACAGACCCGCAGTCCTCAGAGCCAGGGACCGGACCGGACTCGGTTCTTGTGTCAAACAGCAGCTTTATGCGGAGGGGCGGTCCGGCGCAAACGGTCAGCAGGTGGAGCTTATCAGCATTTCGTCTTTGCCTTATATTTTCACTTTCCTGCACGCCGAGTTTGTGTGAGAGCAGCGAGCTTCAGGAGGAACACCAGGTGATTAAATCATTTTTTATTACAACTTTAATAAATACACAGCAGCTGCGTCCTGGTCACCAGGGAGTTATTTCCGGGTCACTTCATCCAACGTTGTGCGCAAAATTCTGCTGGGGAAGCGCAGGTCTGCTAGTAACCAATCTAATGTTTATTAGTTAACTTTATATTTAAGAATAGACGTTTAAAGTAAAATAACTTCTCCACCAGCTGAAGGGACTCATGGGTTTCTGAAGTTCTGTAAAAGTTTGGAGTTTACCTGCCTGTATTAAGAGACGGGGGAAAATATTTATAATGAATATCTAAAATATTTAATTTTATTATAATTTTGGTAAACACTGTGAAACAACCTGTCGTCCAAATTGAGTTTAATTACCTACAGATGCGTTATGTGCTACTGTCAGTAAAGCTGCCTTTTCTGTTTTTCCTCTGAATTAGACTGATTAAAATCAAAGTACACCTCATGTTGTATTAAATAAGACTTGAGTTCTTGAGTAGGTAGATGGGTACAGAAGAATGGTAAGATTATAATATAATGATAACCTATAAGGCCAACTGAATTCCTTGTTTTCATTCATTCAACCTTTTATATATACAGGTTCTCATTGAGCCTCGAGTAGGCTCCTTTTTTCCATGACCTCACAGAATTCCTCCCATGCCTGACTATTTGCATCAGCAGCCACCAAAGTCCTTCTGTCCACTTGTACCTGTCGGCTGCTTCAGTAAGTCCTCCAGGACAACCTGGTCCTGAAGGTCCTCTTCTTCAGCTTGATGGTCTCCATCACTGCTGGTGTGACTAGCGGCTCCTTTGGTTGCCGCTCCGACAGGCACCACTGACTTTCAGGCCACAGCTCCAGGAAGCCGCATCTGCAATATAGAACCTGAACATGGCCGATTTGGATTCCATGTCGCCGGCCTCTTCCCAGTTCACCTTGGGCTTACCAGGTCTGTCCGGCAGCCTCTCCCACCATCTCATCCAACTCACCACCAGGTGGTGATCAGTTGACAAATCTGCCCCTCTCTTTACTCACATGGCTGCAGGTCGGATGACACTATTACAAAATCAATTATCAGCTGATGATGGCAGAGGTCCTTGCAGTAGTCAAAAAACTTGTCTGTGGCAGGGTGCCAGGGGTGGACGAGACCCGCTCGAGATGCTGAAGGCTCTGGATGTTGTAGGGCTGTCATGGTTGACATGTCTCTTCATTGTTTCATGGAGGACTGGGATAAAACCTGCAAAGTGCCAGACCGGGATGGTTGTTCCCATTTTTTAATGGGGAAGCAGAAAGTATGTTCCAACCAGCGTGGGATCACAATTCTCACCCTCCCCAGGAAAGTTTACTTCAGGATGTTGGAAGGGAGGTTTGGACAGATTGTTGAGTCTTGGATCCAGGAGCAGCAGTGCGGCTTCTGTCCTGGTTGTGGCACAGTGGACCAGATCTTCAACCTTGCAGAGTTGCTAAGGGGGTCATCGGAGTTTGCTTCTCCAGTCTACATGTGTTTTGTGGATATGAAGATGGCATATGACAGTGTTCCTCAAGGTATTCTGTAGGAGTATGGGGTCCCTGGGTTGCTTTTAAGGGCTATTTGGTCCCTGTATAAACAAAGCAGGAGCTGTATTCGCATACTTGGCACAATTCAAGCTCGTTCTCATTGCGGGTTGGACTCTGCCAGGTCTGTCCTTTGTCTTCGATCCTGTTTGTGGCAGGACAGGATCTCAAGGTGCAGTCATGGAGAGGAAGGTGTCTGGTTTGGGAACATCAGGGTCTCATCTCTGTTTTATGCAGATGATGTGGTTCTATTAACGTCTTCAGGCCAAGACCTTCATTGTTCTCTGGGCCTCTTAAGTCTGAGGCCATGGTTCTCAACCGTGAAAGAGTTCAAGTATCTGGGCATCTTGTGGACAAGTGATGGTAGGATGGAGCAGGAGGTGGAACAATGGATTGGAGCCTTGTTCTCAGTAATGAAGACATTGCTTCAGTCAATGGTGTTGAAGAAAGAGCTGAGTCGAAAGACAAAGCTCTTGATTTACTGGTCTGTCTACGTTCCAACCCTCACCTCACCTATGGTCATGAAGTTTGGACTGAAAGAACAAGATCCTGAATACATGTGGCCTCAATGGGCTTCATTAGCAGGGTGGCCAGGCTCAGAGAGAGTGTGAGGAGCTCCGTCATCCAGAGGGAGCTCAGAGTAGAACTGCTGCTCCTCTGCATTGAAATGAGTCAGTTGAGGTGCTTCGGGCATCTGATTAAGATGCCTCTTGAACGCCTCCCTGTAGAGGTTTTCCGGGCACGTTCCACTGGTAGGAGGCTCTGGGAAGACCCAGAAGTTGCTGGATGGATTGTGTGTCTAGTCTGGTCTGGGAACGCCTCGAGGTCCTCCAGGATGAGGTGGACGGTGTCGCTGGGGGGAGATGAGGTGGACGGTGTCGCTGGGGGGAGGGCTGTCTGTGTTTCTCTCCTTGACCTGTTGCCTCTGTGACCCGAATATGGATAAGTGTTACAAAATGGAGATGATAAACTAATACTTTTTTTTAATTAACTAAACTTGAAATATCAATTATGTGCAGTCTGTAATGTACATTTACAGGAAAGGTTTGTACATAGACATCTGAAATAACCTGAAACTTGACAGATGTACATGTCAGTCTGAAAAAAAGAGTTTTAAAAAAAAAATGTTGTCATCTAAAGAACCAAATCACTAAAAAATATGAATTGCTTGTACCAAAATTAAAAGGAAATAAGGAATGGTTGAAGACTTTTGCACAGCAGGATGTGTTCCTTTTTTTTTTTTTGTCATACAGCTAAATTGATTTTTTTTCTTCTGTTTTAGAAGTTGTGACATGCTTTTAATTTTCCTATCGCAGAAAACCGGAGCATCTTCAGTCATGGCCGCCATCAGCAGCTCAAACACAGATTTCGCCCTGGAGTTGTTTCGTACTCTGAGCCAAGCAAACCCCTCCGGGAACATCTTCCTCTCCCCGCTGAGCATCAGCTCGGCGCTGGCGATGGTCTACCTGGGAGCTGAAGGCGACACCGCGGCTCAGATGGCAAAGGTCAGCAGCGCACGCTCACACCGTCATCTGATCAGCTGCTGTGACATCAGTCAGTTTTTATTAGAGAAGGTCTCTCAAATCACCTCTTTGTGGGTTAGAACTTGGAGTACGTTATCCTTGATGTTCTAGAGGTTTCTTGAACTAAAGACCAGACAATAAATAACCGTGAAACTTTTATCCAGCAGAGTGATTACCTCCCCTCTGGGTGTTCCAGCTGCAGATGAAGACGACTTCATCTTTGCTTGAAAAAGCTCCTTGTGTCAACTGAACTGAACATCTGATCCTCAGTTCAATGAAAAGTTACACACTGTGTCGTTAAACCGCCCTGTGATTTCAGGCTCTTATCACTGGCATGACGCCAGTTGTGTTGTAGGTTTAAAGGGAGAGGCGTGTCCAGGGCGAGGCCTGTAGGAACACCTGGACTTTGACCTGACTTTAACACCTCAGGAACAAGTTCTGTATTGTTCACTGAAAAGCAGAACGTCATAAAAAAAAAAAAACTTGCAGAGGAACAGGAGTTCCTGAGCACGGAGCAGGTACTCTCAAAAAGATTGCTTCATCCAAGAAACCGTTGCTCTTTGTTCATATATTTTATTTTGATTTGTGTTGGTCAAATGACAATAGTTTTTCATGTACAGTGCCTTGGCTCAGGTTCACGTGTTTAAAACGCAGAACTAGAGAAAACACACGAATGACTTTGATTAAATTTGCTGGAGGCTAAAACGGAGTTGTTAAACATAAAACAACCAGAACAGCCTAAAATGTTCAATGGTAATTGGACTACATTTATATAACAATTTTCTATCTGATCAAGACAATCAAAGCTCGCATTGGAGGATGAATGCTCCAACCACTCAGCCACAGCCGCCCAAAAATGTTTAATGAAGGCCCAGATGAGCCGAATGGAGGCCATAAGGTGGAAAACTGTTGAGTAGAACATTCTCCCATAACTTACTTAAATTAAAGAACCACACTTGATGGAAGGAGAAGATTTCTAACTTGCAAGGACAGGTTACACAGATGTACAAGAAGTACACGCATGAAGCCCAGTCCCAAGAATCTGCCACGAGCAGCGTGCGCAGCTCGTTTTTATTCGCTCATCGGTTCGGTTCAGCCGAGCTCACAGACTCGAAGGCGTCCTTGAAGCGACAGCTGCACGAAGCGGCTTCACCCAGCTCCTTACTAACCCAAACATATGGTTCATGGGCAGAGTTAACATGCCAAGCCATAGTAGTTAAAAACATCCATGAACTTTGACCCAAAAATTCCCCAACAAGAAACGAGGCTGTAAGGGGGAGAAAGGAGGCTAAACCGAGCAGTACAGAGGCTAAAAGCTAAAGCAGCAGAACACAATCTAGAAGCTAAAGCAGCAAAGAGGAGCAGAAAAGTAGCTAACAGTAGGATAAAAAAATGTTCAAACTAAATCAATTAAACAAAAGCTAAAAATAGCAAAATGTTAGCTAAAAACTAACAGAAGCAGAATGCAAACTGAAGATGGTAGAATGTTTGTAAAAGTCGAATGTATCTGATCAACAACTTAAAGCTAAGAGCAACATAAAAAGCAGAAACGGATCAAGAATGTTGACCCAGATTTCAACAAGAACAATATTTTTTATAGAAATTGAATAGATCTAAATCTATTTCTCTGGGGTGTTTTTATTTAACAACTAAATGTTTTGAAAAGTATAAAAATAATATACACTGCTGTAATGCTAACGGATGAACCCCCGGGTAGATGGAAGGGCCTCCATTTAACTGTCAGAAACTTCAGTGGTTGGAGATGATTTTAGCGTTCTTACTCAAACCAGTTGACGTAGATGCATACACCTCCAGCCCGAGTTTTTCCTGTCAGCTCGGTCTCTGTCCAGCTGGAATGTTGTTCGCTCCTCCAGGTGTCGGGGATGGACGGGGCTGACCATGTTTCCACCAGAATTAGAGCACAACAGTTTGTTACTTTTCTCCTCGTTGCCAGCTCAAGTTGAAGATAGTCCTTTGTTTGTTTTCTTTGTTGCTTTCGGTCACACCGCCTTCATTTTACCTTGAGTCGGCTCGTGCAGGCGTATAACTCTGCTGCTCTGTGGGTGCCTGGGACTTTCTCGCGTTGTATGCCGAGACCTCTGAATGTGTGTAGTTCCAATAAAGTCCTGGAATCATAACTTACTCTGCTGTTCGTTCGGTGAGGAGTCGAATAATTGCAAGTAAAATAGGAATCCAGACTGCTGGGAGACAATGCAGCTGCAGCCGGACCCGGCGCCGCCATCTTGAAGTACAGTAGTCCCTCGCTACTTCGCGGATCGTTTTTCGCGGACTCGCTCCATCGCGGTTTTTCCAAAGTAAGTTTGGACATGACACATAACGGCTGATTGATGGATGAGCCACACGATCTGCATGGATTTTTTTTTTAATTTAACATGAATTATTTTAAATGATTTAGCACCTGTGTGCAGCCCACAGCTGTGGGAGAAGCTTCCTCCTGCAGCTGATCAGCTGATCTCTGTAAACTTCTACTTACTACTTGTACTATTATTTTTACTTTGTGGCTTTTCACTTATCATGGGGCTTCAGGGTACGTATCCCCTGCGATAAACGAGGGACTACGCTATATGATCTTGATATGAATACGTACCAGACTTCACATCTGGTTTTATCTGTTTAAACACATTTTTCTAATCTATTGTTTCTAATCTTCTGTATTATTATTTTAACATAAAAAATGTTTTTTTTAGGCTCTGTCGTTCAGCTCTGGTAAAGCTGTCCATGCAGACTTCCAGATGCTCAACACCGACATCAACTCTCCATCAGCATCTTACATCCTGAAGCTCGCCAACCGTCTTTATGGAGAAAAGACCACCAATTTTCTTCCCGTGAGTTTTCAGACTGCATGCATGTTTTTTTTCTCCTCTCACCGAATTAACAATTGTTAGTACTGGATAAAAAAAAAATAAAAAAAAGTTTTCTTCTTGCAGAAATTCCTGGAGGAGACTCAGAAGTTCTACCAGGCGACCCTGGAGGCCGTTGATTTCATCGGGTCTCCAGAGGACTGCAGAGCGGAGATCAACAGCTGGGTAGAGCAGCAGACGGAAAGTTAGTACTTGCAGCAGATTGGAAAGTTTTGCTACCTTCCTCTCTGGATTAGAATTAAAAATCACATTGTGTGCAAATCTTCTCTCAGGTAAGATAAAAGACCTTCTGAAGCCAGGAATGGTCACCCCCATGACGAGGCTGGCTCTGGTGAACGCCATCTACTTCAAGGGAAACTGGATGAACCGCTTCGATGTGGCGAACACCAAGGAGATGCCGTTTAAGGTCAACCAGGTACCAAATGATGCTGAACAGATTTAAAGCTGCAAGAAGTCCAGATGTTCTGGAGACCTGTTTGTTTACTGTATCCTCTGTGTGTCAGAACGAGAGTAAAACTGTCCACATGATGTACCAGATGAAGAAGCTCCCCTACAACTACATCCCTGACTTCGGGCTGCAGATTCTGGAGCTGCCGTACGTAGACAACGAGCTCAGCATGCTCATCCTGCTGCCCGAGGAGTCTGCAGACGGCTCCAACCCGCTGCTGAAGGTACACAACAAAAACAACAACAAACATAATATGCAGGAAAATCAAGATTCACTTTGTGAAAGCTCATTCACACAATTAAATTTTTCTTTTTGCTTTTTGCAGTCAACTGCGTACTTTGTGCTCATTTATCGTTTATATAACAAAATGTTCAGCTCATTCAGATGGATCTGGACCACAACATTTGCTTTTTGCAGCTTTTACGCTTGAAAATAAATTTATTCATGTTGAAAAATATATATTTTCCCCTAGGCAGCACGGTGGCGCAACTGGTAGAGCTGCTGCCTCTCAGCGAGCAGGTCCTTGGTTCAAACCCCGGTCCAGGGGCCTTTCTGGGTGGAGTTTGCATGTTCTCTCCGTGCATGCGTGGGTTTTCTCCGGGTACTCCGGTTTCCTCCCACAGTCCAAAAACATGCATGTTAGGCTGATTGGTAACTCTAAATTGTCCCTAGGTGTGCGTGAGAGAGTGAATGGTTGTTTGTCTCGTTTGTCTCTATGTGGCCCTGTGATGGACTTGCGACCCGTCCAGGGTGTACCCCGCCCCTCGCACAGTGATTGCTGGACATGGGCACCAGCGACCCCCGTGACCCAAAATGGAATAAACGGGTAAAGAAAATGGATGGATGGATGGATATTTTCCCCTTAGAATCACATTTAAATCTCTTCAATAACTTTGTTCTTGTTGAAAGAAGCTTTAGTGTACTTGTTCTATTTTGGTACTCTGAAGCTACTTTTAGTTTTTAGCTACTGGTTTTCTTCTTTTAGCTAGTTTTTTGTTGTTGCTACTTTTACTAGCATTTTGATATTTTAGTTTGGCCTTTTGCTGCTCTAGTGTAGCTTTTTGGAACGTTAAGCTGGTCTTTTGCTACTTTTAGCTGACCTTTTACTAGGCTAGCTTTCGGCTAGCCCTTGGGTGCTTTTAGATAGCAATTTACCACTTTTAGCTTTTACCAAGCCTTTTGATAATTTGAGCTAGCTTTGTGCTACTTTAGCTTTTGGCTAGCATTTGGATGCTTTTAGTTTCCTGTTAGACTTCTGATGCGTTTAGTTAGCATTTTGCGCTAAGTTTAGCTTTTAGTTTGTATTCTGCTTTTTTAGGTTTAAGCACTGCATTTCAGCTTTATTCTATCAAAGTCACTCAGCTTTAAGCATCAGCCTGCGTTTCTGCAGAACTATTCCCTGTGATGGGTCCAGTTCAGATGATCGATGGCTCAGTTCGAGCTGCGGCTAACACGTGCAGACAGTGACCAGATTTCTTCTGTCGCAGCTGGAGAAGGAGCTGACGCAGGAGAGGCTGAGCGAATGGACCAACAGAGCAAACATGGACGTCCAGTCAGACGTCCTCGTCCACCTGCCGAAGTTCAAGCTGGAGGAAGAGTACGAGCTGAACGAGCCCCTGGCTAAACTGGGCATGACTGACGTGTTCTGCTCCGGCAAGGCCGACCTGTCTGGCATGAACGGAGACGGGGGGCTCTTCTTGTCGACGGTGGCCCACAAGGCCTTTGTGGAGGTGAACGAAGAGGGAACAGAAGCAGCTGCAGCCACAGCTGGCATGATCTCCTTCTGCATGCTGAGGGAGGAACACTTCACAGCAGACCACCCCTTCCTCTTCTTCATCAGGCACAACAAGACCAAGTCCATCCTCTTCTTCGGCAGGTTTTCTTCTCCTCAGTAGACAGAAACGGCTGAAACTAAAAATTAATAAATTCAAGTTTCTACAAATCGAAGGTTCTTTGCTCTCTGTTGTTTTGTTGATTGAAAATCCACGGTGACATTTTCTGCTTTTGCACTGGAGTAGAAGAAATACCTTCTCAAAAAAGATTTATGATGAAAACGGTTCATGGTTTCACTTAAACAGCTATTGTTAAAATGAGGAATTATAACAGCTGATAAAAAATGTTGTTTTTAATCTTACCAGATCTTTATCAGTCCGTGCATTCTCTTATTCAGTCACTCTAAACGATCTATTGATTTGTCAATAGTAATTAATGTCTAACTTTTGTAAGCAATACTTTGACAATTAGATGGACACAATTTTCTTCACAATTTTATTTGTGCTCTGTTTTCTCCTTTTTGCATATTTGCACATTCTTTATTTTACTCTTCGTCCTTAGTCATCTGTTAATATTACCATGACACACTTTACATTTTTTTGCTGAATTATAATCAGCTTTAAGACGCTTCTTTAGCTTCTTTGTTGCTGTTGTGTCTTCGGCTCACTGCCAATTCAACGCCCCAAACATTTTCCTTCCATTTCTTGTCCCTAATATGTTGATTTTAATATTTATTCTGACAATCTGTGAGATAAAAATGAACAAAGTCTGCAGTTTAAAATAACTGCTATAAAACACAAAGTAATTAAAATGCACCCAAACTTAACTTAATTAAAAAAAACAGAAGTTTACCAAATAATTTAATTTATTTTTGTTAGTTTTGCTTTAAAATATTAAACGGGGAACATAAAATTCCTTAATCTTGTGTTTGTATTTTTAGGGGTTGTCTTAATTTGAAACTACATAATATAAATTTTAAGTTTTTTTTTTTTTTTTAGGACGTCAAACCTCCTTGTTAAGAGTTGGAGCTGATAAAGAACATTTAAAGGGGTTACTTGTAATATTTTGTTCAAGTTGTTAGTGTATGAAAACTTTTTATAAATGACCATGTTGACCTGAGGCAAAATATAAGATGATAAAACACGAAGATATATAGAACTACTGTCAGTTCTTGCAAAACATCCAAATAAAATGATAATTAGATTTCTTAATTTTAACAAACGTGTGTTTTCAGTTGCCATGAACACAATGAAGGGGACCACACATTAAAAAATGTAGAACTTGTTTCTTGTTTTTGGCCATGTTTAATTTATTTATCTTAAAAGACAATGGTTGTAAATTACAAACTGTTTCCTGAATGTTTTCACGGAGGTTGAACATCCTCTGAACCAATCTGAGCCAGACAAACCAGTTGATGACGGATGGACTGACTGTCCCCTCAGAAGGCATCTGTTGTTTTTGTAATGGTGGCTGTGATCATATACAGGTGTACCTGTCTCCAAATGAACATGCCACACACCATTATATATGGACTTCTCAAATAAAACAAACCAAAATGTGAACAAGGACATTGTCCACAAGGTCTCCTTATAATCACTGAGAACACAAAAGAAGATGAAAAGTTCTGCTGCTTTGGGATAAGATGATGCTTCAAAAGGCCACTGTCTCGTCCTGCGCTGCCATGTTTCCTGGTGTGCTTGAAGAGACACCACACTGGACCATGGGACGGCAGAAAAAGTCCTGGAACTGGACTCCAGAAGGGTTCTTATTTCAGCCTCCGAAAAACAGAAGCACGTAATTGTGCCTTAAAAAATAGAAACAGCCCAACTGTTTTCAGTTTGATGATATAACGAGCTGCTTTGGTAGGAAAAAATGCAACACTTTATGGAAACAGACAAATGACACATGATAAAAGAGATGCTGTTCTGGAATCAGCAGCATCAGGGTATCAGGACTGACACTGGACCCCATGTCAGACAGGTACTTTTAAACCGTCCTCTTCATTATCCCCAATCTGTTGAGCGAGCTGCTGGTTGGAACATCTCTGCCTTCCATTTGGTGAAGCTGAGACCATCATCCTTTCTTCAGAGGAACTGCAGTCAATGGAAGCCTCGTGGCATCAGTCTCCTTCACAATGAGCTGCCCTCTGGTTTTGATGGAGTCCTGCAGGTCCACACCAGGACTCTGTTCCTCAGGTGCCTCGAATCGATACAGTCTGCTGAAACATCTGCAGACAACACTGGATCACATACACATTATGGACAAATGTCAACTTGTTTCTTACAGCAATTTAAAATTTTATTGCATCAGAATTGCGTCACATTATTTAGAATTTCCATTTCTATTCAAAGTTACCAATTGTATTTTTTTATTGTTTTGTTGATCTTACATATTAATTTCTTACGGCTACTCATCCTTTTTTTTTTTTTACAACTGTAATGTAAAACGTGTTAGCAAAATAAAGTTCGATTGAAGAAAACTACATTTGATCACGTGGTTTCGACGTTACGTTAACTGCGTCTTTTTCATTGGCTGAGAGGAGATCACGTGCTTCTGGCAGCAGCGAGACCACTTCCGGTTTCTGTGCCGACGGCTAACAGGTGAGAAGCTGTTTCGCATGCTAATTTAACTCAAAATAAACTCTTTTTTTTTAATCACATTTGTACGACACAACCTTATACCGGTTCTTTAGTTTATATAAAAGTTTGTCCATCTACAAATAATGTAAAACGTTTTTAAAAAGGCGCGTATTTGGAGCTGTTGTGTGCACGCAGTCAAACTTTCTGACTGGTTTTACTGGTCAAGAGAAAATTGAAGTTTATAACTGAAAAGTAAAAGACGGGCACGTTTGTAGAGATGAAATTCATTGTTTAAATATTCCATTTCATTTGATTTGGTAAAATCTTGACTGGTATTTGATTAAACACCTTCAGGACCAGATGTTTACGCTCACCTGTCTTTTACCTGACCTGCAGCTCTGCAACACACACACCTGCAGCAACCACCATTAGGACTTTAAGCTGGATGTTCTCCACGATTTGGGCATCTTTACATCTATTTGTAGTTTATGTTTTGTTAGTAATTATGAAAAGTTTCCATAGTTTTATTTGCCATTTGCTTGTTTTCTTGTTGAAAACAGTCGTGGCAAAACTTTGAACTTCAACAAAAACACCCTGAAAGAGCAAAATACCTTTAAAAAAAAAACTGTTTATGATTTTACTGCTATATTCCAACAGTTAAACTATGTTTGTGAAAAATATGTGATGACAATCTGATTTTTTGTGGTATTGGACTCAGTTTTTTAGGGGTAAAGAAAGGTTTATTACTAGATGTTTAACAAAAATGAACAGATTCATATTATTCAAACTACAAACCGGATTCCCAAAAAGTTGGGACACTAAACAAATTGTGAATAAAAACTGAATGCAACGATGTGGAGGTGCCAACATCTAATATTTTATTCAGAATAGAACACAAATCACAGATCAAAAGTTTAAACTGAGAGAATGTATCATTTTAAGAGAAAAATCTGTTGTTTCCAAATTTCATGGCGTCAACAAATCCCAAAAAGTTTGGACAAGTCCATTTTTCCCACTGTGTGGCATCCCCCCTTCTTCTTACAACACTCAACAGACGTCTGGGGACAGAGGAGACCAGTTTCTCAAGTTTAGAAATAGGAATGCTCTCCCATTCATGTCTAATACAGGCCTCTAACTGTTCAATCGTCTTGGGCCTTCTTTGTCGCACCTTCCTCTTTATGATGCACCAAATGTTCTCTATAGGTGAAAGATCTGGACTGCAGGCTGGCCATTTCAGTACCCGGATCCTTCTCCTACGTAGCCATGATGTTGTGATTGCTGCAGAATGTGGTCTGGCATTATCGTGTTGAAAAATGCAGGGTCTTCCCTGAAAGAGATGGCGTCTAGATGGGAGCATATGTTGTTCTAGAACCTGAACATAGTTCTCTGCATTAATGGTGCCTTTCCAGACATGCAAGCTGCCCATGCCACAAGCGCTCATGCAACCCTATACCATCAGTGATGCAGGCTTCTGAACGGAGCGTTGATAACAACTTGGGCTATCCTTGTCCTCTCTGGTCCGGATGACATGGTGTCCCAGTGTTTCATAAAGAACTTCAAATCGTGACTCATCTGACCACAGAACAGTCTTCCATTTTGCCACACTCCATTTTAAATGACCCCTGGCCCAGTGCAAACGTCTGAGCTTGTTTAGAAATGGCTTCCTCTTTGCACTGTAGAGTTTCAGCTGGCAACGGCGGATGGCACGGTGGATTGTGTTCACTGACGATGCTTTCTGGAAGTATTCCTGAGCCCATTCTGTTATTTCCTTGACAGTGGCATTCCTGTTTGAGGTGCAGTGACGTTTAAGGGCCCGGAGATCACGAGCATCCAGTAGAGTTTTATGGCCTTGATCCTTACGCACAGCGATTGTTCCAGATTCTCTGAATCTTTTGATGATGTTATGCACAGTTGATGATGATAACTTAAAAGTTTTTGCTATTTTACGCTGGGTAACACCATTCTGGTATTGTTGCACTGTCTTTCTGCGCAACAATGGTGGAATTGGTGATCCTCTTAACATCTTGGCTTCTGAGAGACACTGACACTCTGAGAAGCTCTTTTTATACCCAATCATGTTGTCAATTGACCTAATTAGTGTTAATTGGTCTTCCAGCTGTTCGTTATTTGCTCAGTTTCCTTTTTCCAGCCACTTATTGCTACTTGTTCCAACTTTTTTGGGATTTGTTGACACTGTGAAATTTTGAATCAACATATTTTTCCTTTAAAATGTTACATTTACTCAGATTAAACTTTTGATCTGTCATCTGTTATATTACGAATAAAATATTGACATTTGCCACCTCCACATCATTGCGTTCAGTTTTTATTCACAATTTTAGTGTCCCAACTTCTTTGGAATCCGGTTTGTAGATTATTATCATAATGAGTTTTCAGTCGTACAGGATATTTGTCATGTTGTGAAATTTGTCTCTGCATCTTTTTATGTTAAAGTTAGCTTTTTGGCTGTCATCTCTTTTTTTTTCTTCATCTTAATAATAGTTTTTTCATCATTGTAGTTATTTTTTTAATTCTGTATTGTAGTTTTTTTTAATCTTTGGTAGCAGCTGTTTGATTTGATAAAATGTCTTTATTTTCTAAGGCTGATACTGACGCCTATTTTTAAGTTAGGGTAGATAATTGTGCATAGTTTTT